TCTTACAACGGAGCAGGTGTACCAAGAATTTCAGGCTGCATAAATCTCCATAAGCATCATATAAAGGACAAACTCAACACGAATTGATTAAAGATGCAAAATTCATTAAAGGAAAAATGAATCGAATTGAATCTCAGTTGAAGCTTTGCGAGATCCGCAGTATAGGAGGAGGTCTTAGTGAGAGGGATTCAGAGGATGAAAAGAGAATTCAAAAGTGTTAACTTCACAAAGGCAATAACTAATTAGTATGGAAAGTACAAATGAGTACTACGATAGATATAATGTTCCAAGCCACTAATATACTAATTAGGGCAGTTCATTCAAGAGAAATATAGACTGTAAAAGTACTTGCTCAGTTCATAAAGTTGAACTTGAGCTAAGATATCCATAGGATATGTAAAAACGAGGAAGTAAAAAGGAATGCGAGGAAAAGTCTTCAAAGGTAGATATCCTTATGGTGATGAATAAGTAGAAATGTAGCAATGAACTCCTGGCCATGATCCAAGGATAGCAAGAGATCAAAACTCTGGATGAATAAAAAGCTGCTTATTTCACATAAGTAGAGCAAAAGTCCATAAGGATCTAAGCATAGGGACGCCTACGTATGGACGAGTTGTTCGGTGAGCACAAAGAACGTCTGGCCCGGATCGGTAATGATCGTTCTCTGTTGGCGAAAGGGTTATGCGCGGCCACCGTGGGGTATCATAGGCGAAAACTCATCGAACGACCGTCTGCGTCCCTGGCGGACCACGCGCCTTGCTCTCGTCCTCTGCTGTCTGACCGTCGTCGACGGACACGGCTGCTCGCCAACGGCTGGGCGAGACCATTCGGTTTTTTTTTGGGTAAATAGAGTGACTGTTAATGTGGCTCTTGCTCTCGCCAAATGAAATGAAGATTATGTGACATAACTGATGGCCAGTCAGTTTCTGTTATTTCCTAGTTGTCTGGGGAACCTGGGAGTTTGAATCAAGCAATGTGGGGAGGGTGACTGGTGATGACGTTCCTGTGTAGCGTTTTTGTGTTGCAGCGCGTCGCCTTTTTTCTGTATACGGTTTGGCGTCGTTGCGTGCCACAGCAGAACGCCAACACCTTTCAGATCTGATTTTCCTGAAAAGCTTCGTGAAGAGGAACGACATCTTCATTACGGCTGCAACTTACTCCCATTCAGCCTCCCGCTTGATGGCATGTCCTTTGCGTAACAGCTGCAGATGGCTGTCTAGTTGTCCGTGATTTATTTGATCTCCACCCGTGTGGCAAACGCGCTCCAAAGCGAAGCTGTGGCGCATCCTATTTTGACATTTCCAAGGAGCCATATCGCGCGATAAGGGGCGGGCTTTCCTTTCCCTTCCGTTAAGGCGGATTGTGTAACGAATAGCTTATCGCTATTGGTGGTCTTGGTGTCAAGTGCGTCATTTTTTTTCCACAAAAATATTAGTTTAAGAGGATTTGCAGTCTTTCCATGGATGCACAAACACGCCTGCTCCACTGTGACACAGGCGCGTTTACACTTCGCGCCACACCAATGAATCTACAGAATCTGAGAAAGATTAGTTGTAGACAGAATGTTTCAGCTCTCTTGGTTTGAGAAGAATAAGTGGACACGCTCCGCTCTGCGCGAACTATGGTTTTTTCTCGGAAAGTTAGCGGCTCCTCAATTTTCGTCTCTCGATCGCCAAGTATGTGCCCTTTCGCTAACTCGCTTTCGTTCCGACCCTGCATCGCGACAGGGATTATGAACGCAGTTTATGATATTGAGTCAAGGAGCGCGTCTTCAGCTTCAAGACGGTTTCACCGCGAGCAGTGCGACCCATGTTTTTTGTACCTCGTCTGACACTTCGAGGCGAGAGAAATTGTTGTTGACAGAAGCCCTCCGCCTTCTATCTAACAAAGTACGAGATACAATATTTCAAATGAAGTTTGAAGGTACAGGATTATAGGTTGGAGAAATAGAACGCTCCTGTGAGAATTTCCTAGACTGAAACGCACCGTTTGGGACATGTTCGAGCACCTTTCTTATTTCCTTTCATAAAGGTCTGTTATTCTTCATTTATCAGGGTTTCACTGAACTTTCGTGAACTTACCGCCTTTTTGTCGAGGACCACTAAATTTGATCCTACGAGTACGCTTGCCGAGCAATTTGCTTAACCATTACACTACACACACTCCACGACTTCACAGGCTTTTCCTCCCTTTTCCTAGTATGTGCTCTAGCTTATCGGTGTTCAACAATCAATATTGTTATCGATCAATATTTCTCGTTTTGTATTGTTAACTATTGATTATCACTAAATCTAATACGGCTATATATAAGGGTGGTCAGTCAGGGGAAGGGAGTGTCATGTTACACTTTCTCTGAGTCCTTTTTTCCAACAACTAGTATTTCTTTTGTGTTTGGAGCGGTAAGGATAACTTGTTCATATGGAAACATGCACGATGAGAGCAATTAATCAAATGATGTTCACACTTTCTTTGACTGACTCAACGGGGAGCAGAAACCCTTAAAAATCGATCACTGTTTTGTACGTTCTTAGCGCACTGAAGTTTAGACATTGAAGGTCTCTTGAATTATTTGCAGTCA